TGAGAAGATGGTGAAAGAAGTAAGTGGAACAAGGAAGACAGTATTTAACTGCGGTCTGGGAGAGAGCGAAAAACTGCTACAAGTACTGTTGTCGTGAGTGGGTTCAAATTGCTGACAAATGGGCATGTTCCTCATTGATTATCCGTCGTGGAAACTGTCTTTACATTACAAACGATTAAAACGAAGTCTTTGGACGAGTTTCGATCCATTTCTTGATTTTTGGATTCTCCTGCACTTTTTGCATGTGAGCCTTGACCTGAAATGGAATTATGAAAAAGATGCGAAAACGCGTGGTTGATTCTCACCGCAATGCGCTATTTGTGCAGGCAATTCTTTTACAGCTCCATCAATGGAATATTTCAAAAAGTGTTCGAAAACACCCAAGATGAGCTAAATTGTCCTCACTGTCTGACCACCTCGTCAAAGTGAACACCCCTCCCCTTTCTCCTTCAATGGACGGCGCACCGACCGTCTCAGGCATTCCCTTCCTGTACTCCATCGCGCTACGGGAAAAACTAACGCATGTATGGAGTGTCCAAAATTAACAACTATTTTTCACTTTCTTTTTCTACTCCATTTCAGACGTACAAGCTCATCCTCAACAACTTGAGAACACCACAATGTTTCCTCCTCTCCGCAAATATTATATAATAGCGTTCTCATAGAAACATCTACTGAACTCCCATCAAACTGGCTGAGCTCGTAACGAGCTATTTATTGCTCTTAAGACCTCATACCAATGAAATCTTCTTGTTTAGTACATAACTGAACTATTCTTTTAATTACACTTGAAGCTCTTTCATTTTTTTGAGTGAAGAGATCTCTCAGAGTTTGATATTATTGCTTACTTTATGAACTGAAAGATGTACTGAGACTGACCTCTGGGAATCCGTCAAGAAACTCCGGGACCATCCTGCACATATCGGCCATGTGTTCAGCGATTAGGACATCTACCCAGCTGATTTTGTCGCCGACCAGATAGCCTAAGAATAGGTTATGATTCGCATTGCAGTAACGAACTCTCTCACTGTACAGAGTTGGGATCATGAACCACTGGAATCTATAGCCCATCGAGAAAGACGTAACGAAACAGAGTTTGAGGGCTCTGCAATCTGCCAGCACGTCCTGACATCGTCCGAGAAGTAATCCCCCAAGCGGTTTTCTAATTCAAATCGGTTAAATCTGTTCCTTGGAATAGCCGAAAAGAGGAGAGGTCTCTAATATCACCAACTATAACGAATATGTAGTTCATTTTATTATGCTCTTACACCTAATCTTCTTCTTACGCGTTCAGTTCTGATCTGGGAACGGGTTTTTATATGACTTCATATGGCACCTATCTTATGACCGTGTGCATTCACTAGCAGCCTTTGCCCTTTGCTTCTTCGAAAGCAATCAGCTTGTGTTATCATCTTCTAGCTCTTACCATGAGAGGCATTATTCTTGAGGAAGTTGGTGATATGCTTAAGGAATTTGTCCCGAGCCGGCAGTAGCACCTCAGTCTTCAGCTTCTCCTAAACCATTCAATATCGTATCGTATAGAATTATTTTCTCTATGTGAAGTGTTTTTTACTTACTGGATCTCCAGGCATGAAGCCGTGTGCTGCATAGTAATAGCTCTTCATTTCAGCGCGGTAATCAGCGTACTGATCGCCCAGCGAGTCAATGAGGGCTGATTCGAAGTCGTCTTTGCCAGCGAAACCTGAAGGTTAATGTGGTTACGTTACCAGGTTCCAGGGATTTTTCTTTTATCTGGGAAAATTGTGCATAGAATCGCTGCAATTATTCTTCCGCACAAATCGGCTCGGAGTTTACTACGGAAAGGCAGCCCAG